AAAGATTTGGCAATTTTGTTTCCCTGTACTGCTGAAACCCTGCAGGGGTTGAGAGAGGGTTTTTGTTTTAATGCTGCATTTCCACCTTTCTAGTTTTGGTCACCCCATTAGTGGTCAATTATAGTGTGGGGCAGAAATCACTGGCATTTGCTGGACAAGGTCAGAATGTACTGGGGTCTTGCCTGTACCCCAAACAGGGTAGGCAGCGCAGTGGTGACATGAGAGAGGTGACAGAACATGTGATGTCACTGGAATGGTGGGGAAGGTGTCCACTCTTTGTAGCACATGGGAAGTGGTCTCTTGGCTAAGGCTCAAGTGCTGTTCACGCAAAACTCCAGGAGTTCTTTACTCTGGTCAGAAACCAAGGCAGCAAAGATCCCAGTGATGAAGTAAATACAGAAAATTACTCACTTAAATCACTTGTGGACATCATGAAGAGTTAAAATGTTTATTTCCCCGCACAATTTTTAGCCACCTTTAAACTATAGAGACAATTGAGAGCATGCAGCAAGTATCATTTTGCTTTAAACTGCCTTTTTTTAACATCATCCTTGCATTACCTATGTTTGATTGAACCTTAGTCCCAGTTAAGTATAGGCTGTAGACATTCATAACGTTCAGTATAGGGTTATCTTATAACTGAGCAGCAGACTCTTGAATTAGTTCTCCCTTTGTTTGTCCCCTCTTACCAGGTTTGTGAAAGAAAAAAGGCCAACCATTTCTCCCAACTTCAACTTTCTGGGCCAGCTTTTGGACTTCGAGAAAAAGCTCAAGAACCAGAGCCGTCAGCCTAGCCACATCAGCAAGCTGAAACTCCTGCACCTGGAGAAGAGCAGCGAGCAGGTGCAGGTGCTGGAGGGAGGGCAGAGCAGCCTCTCCCCCCACCAGCTCTGCCTCTCCGCCGCCTCGGAGCTGCTGGAGCCCAAGCCAACAGGGGGTGGCCACCCGGCCCCGCTGGAGGACGGGCCGCTGGTGCAGGCCATCAACGGGCTGCACGTCTCCCTGGACAAGGTGGAAGACAGCAACCGGCTGAAGCGCTCCTTTTCCTTGGATATCAAATCCGTGTCCTACTCAGCGAGCAGCAGCTGCGTGACCGCATCGGTGCAGGGCTTCGCCTCCTCCGAGGACACGCTGGAGTACTACAAACACGCAGCTGTCCTGGAGGGCAGCAGCAAGCTGTGCCAGTTCTCCCCCGTGCAGGAGGTGTCGGAGCAGAGCCCAGGGAGCAGCCCCGACAAGGAAGAGACGGCCGGGCCGCGGGAGGCCCCGTGGCCGCTGGCCAGCCCGGCCTCACGGCCACACGCGGGCCGGGCGGGCGGCAGCGCAGCCGCGCCTCGGGCCCTGCTGTACCCCCTGCACCGCAGCGGCAGCATGGAGGACACCTACAGAACGAACTTCGTGCTCGGGCTCTCCACCAGCCAGCAGCACCTGGCCAAGTCTGCCACGGGGCTAGGCCTCAAGGGCTGGCACTCGGACATCCTGGCCCCGCAACCCTCGTCCCTCACCAACAGCTGGTATTTCGCCGCCGAGCCCTCGCATTTCTACTCGGCCTCGGCGATGTTCGGGGGCAGCCCTGCCTTCCCCGCCTGCAGCTGCGGCCAGCTGCCCTCGGGCTGCGAGCAGGCCAGCGCCGTGCGCCGCCGGGCCCGCCAGGCCGACCGCGGCGACTCCCGGCGCAGCTGGCACGAGGAGAGCTCCTTCGAGAAGCAGTTCAAGCGCAGGAGCTGCCAGATGGAGTTCGGGGAGAGCATCCTGTCAGACAACAGATCCAGAGAGGAACTGGGCAAAGTGGGCAGTCAGTCGAGTTTTTCAGGCAGCATGGAAATCATTGAAGTGTCCTGAGGGGCAAAGGCTCGTGTGACTGTGGCAGAGCTGCTCCCCCAGCGAGTAAGAGGTCCCTGTAAATCTGAAACTTTGGGTAAAAAGGTGGGGGGAGGGAAGAAACAGAGGCTTTGCTTTGAACCAGGGAAAAGGGTGGTACTGCAGGGAAGTGACCACAATCTCTGCACAAGGAGACCAAGGCTGCTGCTGGGCTTTTCTCTTCTCCTCTCCGGGAGAAGGGTAGAACATTTCACAGACCTTTCCCTGTCAAAGGAAGCAATTCTGTGCAATGGATTGCCCATCCTTTTAGTGGCTTTTAACAAGGAAGCTCTCTTGATGTCAAACCCTTTCTCTGGTTCCACTGAACCACGCTCCTGTCAGAACTAGTTTTGTTCTTCCCTCCCCATGCCTCACATCTTCACCAGTGCACCTTAGCCCTGACACTGAGCCAACCTCTGGAGGGAGACCTTTTTCCTATAAGAAAAGGAGACTGGAGGTGATTCCAAAGGCCATAGAGACTGGTTACAGCAAGGCTGGTCTGAACACACCCTTCAGACAAATGTAAATACTGGTGTAACTATTGTTCTAATGAATAGGCTTTAGGTGATTCGCTAGAGAGCTGCTTCAGAGAAAAAAAAACCCAGTACCTCAAAAACACATAAAATGTATGGCTGCCACATGCTGGTAGTAAGTTCATAAACAATGTGAACAAGTAATGACTGGGCTAGTTTAATTTTGTTTTTAAAGCTGTCCACGCACAAGTTTTAGTTGGCTCAGCAACAATTCTTAAAAGAAGATGAATGAACCATATTTAGGCCTGTTTCCCCTAGTCTTTTGATAAAGTATTTGTATTTTTGATATTGAGCTGACTTCTGGGAGAGGGGTAGCTGCTTTGGCTTCTAAGCTATAAAGGTATGGTTGATACCTAGAGCTACATGCAAGAGAAGTAGCTGGTACGAGTGGCCACAACACACTTTTACTGCCAATTAACAATTGCTGAAAAACAATTCAAATGTTTGGGTTTTTTTTAAGGTAAAAAATGAGCTGGGGCGGGCTTTTGTCCTTAACTGAGCAGTTCCAAGGTGTAACTGCAGATGCTCAAGGCTCTACCGCATTCTCACCCTCTGCACCCCAGAGCAGACACCTCCATCTCAAGGAGGTGTCACAGCCCTGGTTTCACAGGAGATGAGGCACAGCCGTTCTCATGTTTTTGACAACGACCCAGCTGCTTCCCCTCCCACCTTGGCTGCTGCTCACCTTGGGCTACATGTGCACATTGCCAGAGGTTTATGGTCAGCAAGGGATGGTACCAGAGCCACCGTGTAAAGCTTCATCCTTCCTGCCCCCAGGGCCTTCCCCAGCACCCCTCAGAACACTTGAGAGAAAACTATTTTTCTGTCCCACTTCAGTGTAGGCAGCTGAAAATTGTAGTAACAAATAATTAACCCTGGCCAACAGCTTTAAAAAAAAAATGTCAGCAGCAAACTGAAGCCCTAATTCAAGTCAGCAGCTTGGGTTATGTTTGGGTTTTTTTACTGTAAGTTTAGCTAGTTTGTAACTCAAATCTCAGGTTTTACTATATTGAAAAGTGGAGAAGATTTTTGTCATAGTTTTGTTTTGTGGCTAGGATGTGACTTTAATTTCCTACAATAGACCATTGAAAATAGCACTGAAAGCTACAGAATTGATTAACTTGATCCTAAAAAGTGCAAAAGGCACAGAGAGGAGGCACCAGGAGTCACTGAGCCCAGACGCTCTTTGTGCTGTGTGTACAAGAGGCTGTACAAAGGGCCTGGGCAAGGGAGAGGCTGACATACCCTGGACACTGTGTCAGGTGCTGGCTGTTCATTGAACATGCTGCCACTTGTCTCTGTTTACATCTCCAGTGGAAGTGACTACATCACAACTTGTCTCTGTTTACATCTCCAGTGGAAGTGACTACATCACAACTATTTTTAGCTGTGTGTATATATGCTTATGTTAACAGTTGAACAGGGCTCCTCTCAGCCACAATTCGGCAAAAGCCCGTGACTTTGATTTAAACCAGTGAATGGGAGTTAACACATATCAATCCCTAGAGGCAAAAACAGATTCTCCCTGTTTTGTGCTCCCTCAGACATGTGTGTTCTCCCCTTCTTTGAATGTTTGGGGTTGGTTTGGTTGATTGCCTTTTGAAGAACTGAAATCTGGTCTTGTGGCTCTTTGTGATTCCCAGTGTGTTCTGGATGAATCCAAGGTGTAGGCTCAGTACTTATGGGGGCAGGTTCCCATAGGAGGAAGCCTTAACCCCATGTCCTCCTGCACAGGATGGTGCCCTGGCTCATACATGAACTAGAGTCCTGTCCCTGAACAATTGTGGAAATGGTTTGCAGAAGTCTGAAAAGCAAAGTGGAGGATGTGACAGGGAAAAATGTGTACACATTCAATATGAATATAACGTATGGCATTTGGTGTGTGGCATACTTGACATGTTTGGTGTATGGCAAGCTGGTGAAGTGGTTCAGAGAGATGTGAGTTTCTCATCTTGTTGTGTCATGAACATTACCTGTATGTTATGGAGAAATAAAATCAGAAATGGTACCTGTTTATACAGAAGGCTGAGGAAGGAGTTGTTGAGTGTATTACCTGCAGCAGGACCTGTTCCCCCCAGCAGCCAGGAGAGCAGGGACCATGTCCTTTATGGGACACCCCCTTCCCTGCAGGTGTGTTCATGAATGACAGGGCTGGAGAAGCTTTAGATCACTTTTCACAAGCAGTGGTGATTTTACAGCACCAGTAACCATTTAGGGCTCTTACCAGTCCCTGATTACTCCCCTTCTTCTGCTCCATTGCTGAACAGCAGTGGCACTTGTCTGCATTAACACCTTCCACTGTCTAATCCAGGTGTGAGTAACCTGTTCCTCAGGCAACTGGGGTGGTCTTGGTGAAGCAAGTATTTAAAATTGTTGAAGCTACCCAGAACAAACCCCACACTTTTTTCTTGCCTCCCTCCCATACAACTTATTTGAAGAATAATTTAATTACTCGTTTAAATACTTGTTTTGACTGATACTCTCAGTCTTGAAGAATTCAGAGCAAGTTCTGCTCACTGAGATTGGAGCACAACCCCCCACTACTGCTTCAGAGAATGGCACACACATATACAGCATAATTAGGATTAAAGAGGGCAGCCATAGTAATATTCTTAGGAGAAAGCTGCAAGTTTATTTAACAACATCTTCAAACTCGGGTGCAGTAAGAGCCTTTTGAGAATTTCAAAGCACAGTCCCAGAAAGGGAAATGCAAAATATTCAGCCTCTCTAAAAGAAAGAGCACAAGGAACAACCTGTATGAGTTTCTGTTCTTACCTTCCACAAACAAGATATAGGAGCTCCTAGAGAACAAAACATGAACCATGCAAATTCAATGGCATCATCAGCTGCTTAGCCTACACAACAGGTTGACATGACAATCTTCTATGACCCCACTCTAAAGTCCAATTCTGATTGCAGTAGCTCTGTTCCCTCAAATTCTGTTTTTTGAAGCATTCACTTCAGCTTTCACCACTCCTGCCTGCTTTGCAGGACTTGCTCTGCTCCTGCTCCTTCCATCTCTGGCCCTACCACCAGCCAGCTCTGGGAAAGAGACAGTTTAACTCCACCTCCAGTAAAAACCCAAGGGGCAACTGAAATCTGTCTCATGCATGTCACCAACACCTAATTTTAATTTCACTGCCTGGCATTACTGGGAAGAGGTCCCCAAGGTCACTGGGCTCCTGACCATCAAAGTGACATTCCTAAAATGAAGTGAACTGAAAACAGCAAAAACCTCCTCCCAGCAGGAATCAGGTAGCCCTGCTTTTGAGGGGGCTGGGGAGGATAAGAGTGTAGAAATGTGGTAATCAGGTGAACTACTGTCTTTACTAACTGTATTCATCAGCTAAGTGCTCAGTATGCTGTGATTCACAGCACAAGTTACAAACTTACTTCTGCCAGAAAGCGTGGGCATGAAAAACCCAGAACAAAGGAGACAGCACTAAGGTCCTAATAAGACTGTTACTTTTTAAATCCAAAATCACTGCAATTCAACCAAACTTACCTAGCCAGACATCTTAATTAGCCAGCCATACACCTAACTAGTCTATTTGTTATCAATCTGTGATAAAAGTAGTTATTCTAGCACTTTTAGACAGTAATATACACAATGTCACAATTACATTATACACACAAACCCACAACTGAGAATTCAGGTAGAACAGTGTTCCTAATACATCAGCTTTGCCTGGCAACAGCACTTGCCCTTTGAATGCTGCCTGCAAAGAACTTCTTGGCCCTCAGATCCAAATGGTTGCTCTGAGGCAAACTGAAGTGTTTCTGCAGAAAAGCCTTGAGCTAATTCTGCACTTCCAAGAATATTAAGAGTCACCATAAACAGAAAAGGAAAGGGAGCTATTTCTTGCCTTCTGCAACACCCACGCTCTGGGAAGGGGCTGCTTTCCTGGCATGTAAAATGCTGCCAAACACTTCTGCTGCAAGGGATTGCTCACTTTGAGGAGTGGATTTCAGCTGCCGTTTCCAGGGACCCTCACCATACTCCACTGCTGTACAAAGCCAAAGTGTGACACTACAGGCAATGATGAGGCTGGGGCATCAGGCCATTAAAAAAACAAACAAACAAACAAACAAACAAAACAAAAAAAAACAAAACAAGACAAAACAAGACAAAAACAAAAACAAAAACAAAACCAAAAACAAAACCCAAAAACAAAACAGCAGCAAAATAAAAAGAACCCCTGTAAATCTCGCTCTTTCTTTATTCAGTATCACCTGTGCAGGTGAGAGTTCATCACCACTTCCACTTTCCCAAGCATTCTATTCAAACTGGACATCAGTGCCAACCAGAACTGGGACAGCATAGGGGGAAAAAACCAACCAGCATTTATTTACATTCTAGGGATGTGTTTCCTCTCAATCCTATGGCAGAGGCAGCCCCAGGGCAGCTGAAATCAGCCAATTCCACATCACAGAGTAGTTGCAAAGTAAAGCTGAGATATGCCTGCACTGCCCAGACACCACGGTGGGAAGTGGGAATGAAGAATGAGCAATAAGACAATTGGAGAAAAAACACACTTGGAAAAGAGCCACACCAAAAGTTTTAATAATGGAGCTGTGGAACATGGAGCATGTAGGAAGCTGAACAGGGTAACCACCCATAAACCATGGAGTGCTCAGCCACAAGGCTGGCAATCAAAATACCGTCTGTCAGCTTGGGAACAGGAGGGATGTTACAGCAGTACCTCGGGAAACTACTGGCACACAGTCTTGAGAGAGGGGCTGACTCATGCAATCAATGGGCCTGTGAAAACATGTATTTCTACTCTTTTTGAAAAAGCTTGAAGGAGGGGAAAACACTTTAAAATATTGAACGATATTTAAATATATTTAATTTAAAATACATCTATTTAAAAAATAAAGCAACAACAAAAATTCTTTTCTCTCCCCTTCAGCAGATCTTCACAGAAATTGCCCTGCAGGTAGGCTGGCACTTTAGCACCCTGTCAATGCATACAGTGACAAAAACAACAGGAAACCACAAAGCATACCTGCTCTGCATGGGCAGCACAGTGACCAGTGTGAGATACAAGGAGCACCAGTGGCAGCACAACAGGGGAGTTGCAACAGCAGAATCAGGGGAAGGGCCAGAGCAGCTCAGGGCAGAGGAGAACCAGAGCTCTAGGGACTCATCCTGCTCCCCAGCTTTTCACAAGATCATGTATCAAGCTTAGCCTGTACTCAGACCACACACCACCAGAAAGCAGAAAAGGGCAACAGTGTCTGGTTTCAGAGGAGCACACCAGATTATTCACTGTTCATAGCACTACATTTGTGGTAGAAGTAACAGCTGGAACATTCAATAAAGATAACTGAGGCCTCCTCCAAGAGTGTTTGGCTTGGAAAAGAAAATTCATGTGCAGAAAGGTGATTCCAGTGACATCTCCAAGCTCCTGCTAAACAGCGTGGGTGGGAAGCATCAGTCTTACCCTGAGTATCACTTGCATCTGAGCTGAATCTGAAAGCAGCATGTGGAGCAAAGTCAACAAAAAGCAGCCAAGCAACAAACAGCAGCTCAAGAAGATGTGGCAGGACACAGCTCCCCCTGCGCAAGAGGGCTAAAGACTTACAGTTCCTGAAGGCAGTGACAATATTTTAAATAAAACTGTAAACCATCATTCAAGGGCATTTAGAGGGTGCATGTTCTTACAGTACCCATATGAAAGACTACCACCTGTGGAATGAAGATGATGACATGTGAGTATTGGAAAAGGTTGGTCTCCACACTTCAGCTCTAATTTCTTTCTAGTTCAGTTACTATGCCTTCCACAACCTGCCCTTGCTGTTCAGGAAGCTCTTGTCTGTGAGGCCCAGCAGCACAGCCACAAGTTTAAAGAACAGTGTTCCTAGTTACGAAGCTTTTCTCCTATTCTCAGCCCAGTGCCTTTGTGTTTTCTGGCATATGAGGCAGGAACTGATTTGCAGTCTTCAGCTGGAAATACTATTCCTTTGCCCTCATTAGCACTGCAGGGAGCAATGCTTTGACTTGATACTTAATGGCCTGAGGCCAAATGTCTAAAAGCCTCAGAGAAGTATCTTACAGGAGAGAGCATCTGCCTTGATATCCAGTATTGGGATCTTCCCACTGGCGCAGGTTTCCAGCACACCAGGGTGTGGGACACTCATGATCCCATCTGGCAGACAGCTGAATGTTGCACATTTTAAACATCCAGACAGCATCATCTGGACAAAGAGGACAAAAATGGCTGCAGCCACTATTTAAAGCAGCTCAATATTCTTGTGTCTGATGGTGGGAGGCAGAGACACATTCCATGATGGAAACGAGGATCCACAAGGGCATGGCCATGACAAGCAGCTTTTCCTGGGTTAAGTCTCATGTAAGTTTTTAACAATCCAAGAGTAAAACATAGCAGAAAGCTTGGACAAGGATGGAATTCTGATGTTTTATGCTGGGCAACACACAGCATATACCTACAACTCTGTACAAGTCTGTAAAAACCTCTGAGTGGGAGCAGCAGGCAAGGAGACCTGCTGCCTTTGCTAAAAACCCTCCTGCTGAGTTCCCTGCCCTCCCTGAAGCAGTCAGTCCCACTTCTCAGGGCATCAATCCAGGGGGCTCCATTTCTACAGGAATCTGCGTCTAGACAGTGTTCAGCAGGCCCTGGGATCCAACCACCACCGTGGTTCAGACACACATCTAAGTTGGCTGCATGATAAAAATTCATATTACGTGACCTTTGGGAATGCAAACAGCCTGCTGCTTCTTGCCACCAGGCAACAATTATTATAATCAAAAACCTACCACATTCTGATTTCCAAATGCTGAGAGACAACCTTTTGCTTAATAAATGCTCTTATGTACTAAGACATATTGAAGGAAGTTGCCTTTGGCAAATGACCCTACCTTGTGCTGTACTGGAAGCTGGGTTGTCCCTGACTGTCCTCACTGCTGGAACTGCACTCCTGACACACAACAACCCTTGTGGTTCATGGGCTTTTCAGTCTGGGCTCACCTGGCAGGAAGCAAGAACATCCTGTTGCCTTTGAAGCAAGTGGCTGAGAAGGGCCTCATGTCTTCAGTTGTTCAGCAGCATACCACCACCACCTCCTGGCACAAGGACAGCTAAACCAACACAAAGAGCCAAAGGACTTAGCAAATCTCTCCCTTCTACTCTCATGCACTTGAAGAAGCAGCTGCACTCCACTGGTAAAAAAGACAGCACCAAGGTAACTTGAGTGTCCCAATAAAAAAAGATATCCTGTGTCCAACTTTGAGATGCAAAGTGATTAGGTTGGTACCAGTGCCTATTAGAGGGACACAAAATGCCACTAGCTGGGGCATGGGGATATAGTCAGGGCAAGGAGGAGAGGAAAACTAAGCTTTGCTTTACATTAACAGACATACGTATCTAGAACAGTTACTCCTTTACAGCCTCATATATTAGTGAGCCCATAGAAACAGGAGCCTCAAGGACATGCCAAAACCCTGCCACGCAAACCACATTAATTATGATAATGGTCAGATTTTAGTAAGCCAGTTCCTGGCTCCCACACTTTCACCTATAAAACACATATTTCCAAGGCCCAGGGATCAGAAATACCTTCCAGTCATCTAACTGTCTAAACCCCAATGGCACAAGAAACATGTTAGAGGGTTCGTCACACCCCATATCCCTTTCAATTTTTTTAGTAAAAAAATATATCAGATGAAAGGAAATTCCTCCTCTGTAAACCACTAGTCAGAGCAATGAAACAAATGTGTCTGCACAGGCGGTGTAGTGGCAGAGGAGACAGGAGGGCAAGAGGAGGGAGTTGAGAGAATGGTAAATCATCTCTTCCAGGGAGCCCCTGGATTCCTGGCTGTGTGGCTCCAGCAGCTCACGCCGCTCTCCCTGCAGTGCCCTAGCAGAGAATCTAACAGCAGCGCTGCCTGCTCCCCACATCTGCCAATAGAGCCTGCTGGAAGCGCTTCTGTGCTGAACATGGAGCGTGGAAGGTAACGGGGTTGCGGGGGGAGCTGCCGGAGTGCTATGACCTCAGCTCCCGGTCAGGTTTCATGGAGAAGGGCTCCAGCTGCTCCCCCTCCGGCAGGAGGCTGTTCAGCCGCTCCATCAGCGGCACCGTCTGGTCGATGCCCATCTGGATTCGGCGCAGGATGGCAGACATCTCATTGACCTTCTGGATCTGCTCTGCATACTTGGCGTACTTCTTCTGGCGCTCCTGCATGAGGCTGTAAAGAGTTTCCACAGAGAGGTCCATCTGTGTAAAAACAACAAGCACAGCAAGGCTCATTAGGCCAACTGTTGACACACACCTTTCAGCACACTGTCCTTCCCAAAAGCAACCACCCCGGATGCTCCACTAACAGGAGGTAACAGACAAGTACAGAGGAACTCCTTGGAAGGAACATAACCAGTCTGTCATGGAATGGGATGATTCACAGTTGTATACCAGGGAAGACATATGATGACCTCAGTTCTCCACCCAAATACCTAAATATCTGATCAGAAAATTCTTCATTTGCAGGACTGCAAGCCAACAGGCGCTGCCAGGGTTTTCCCAATAAACTAACGAACACATCCTCCTAGTTATCCAAACCCAGAGGACCGTGGCCTCTGCCTACACCTAAACTATATTTTCACTGGAGATCATTCATTTGCCAGCGTTAAGCTTTACCACAGTTGCCAGTGCTAATTTTTCTCAGTTTAACCAGGTTACTCTGCAACTAAGCCATAGCTGTAATTACCATTGTCATCTGGAAAACTCCTGCCTTGAGAGAACCACAATGGATTGCCAGTGTATCTAATTTCCCTGAAACCCAAAAATAAGAGTGTTATAAGTGACCCCAGGAGAGACATTAAGAAAATTAGCCATGCAATTAAACATAGTCAGTACCCAAACATGGCTTGAGCATGATGACAATGACAGGAACTGCAGTGCTGTTCCTGCTATTGAGTGATGAAGACAGCCTTTATAATTCACAGCCCATTTTTCTGTTAAGCCAGACATACAATCTCCAGGCAGGATTCAGCCAGTAGCTGCCAGTACCTTACACACAAACCCAGTCAGATGGCTTAAGCTGTAAACTAAGATATGTACCACATGTTCCAAGAGCTTGGTTACAGGGTTGTTCGATGCCCTCAAGTGCACACTGGAAGCTTGGTTACTTTGGCTCACTGTAGCTGTACTAACAACCCCAGTGACTCCAGTGTACTGGCTCTTCCAACTGGGATGTCTTTGTGGAAAGTAGTCCCCTGTCTTGGGACTCAATACAAGCTCACAGTAGCTGAGAGTGAAGGGCAGGACAGGATGAGAGGACACACACTGAGCAGTTTTAGCCCACTGCAACCTCTTACCACTGGTTTCCCAAATCTTTCCCATCTAATTGCTCCCAGAGGAAGGAGGTCACTACTCACGATGAAGCAGCCTCAGGGAATCAATGCTGAAAAATGGTCTACCAAGAAGCACAGGTTCAAATAACCATTAACAGGTTCAAATCCCTCTCCTGAACTGTGTGACAGAGTCAACCCGTCCGGTGGAGGACAGTGACCATACCTGTCACCAGGGACAACACACATTTATCAGTGCAGTGCTAAGAAAACACAAGGTGCTGACCTGACCTGACTTACACAACACTGAACAGGCAGGTGCAATCCTGATGCTGTGTCCAGTACTGTGGGGTCTGCAGGGGAGAACCTGCAACAAGGGAGGACTGGATGGAAATGGTACAACACTGGAAGCCCCACTGAGGAGGGAGGGCAGCAGAGAGAATTCTGCCATCCCACGGGTGGCAGCAGGGTTTGACACTGGGGATAAACTGCTGTAGCTGTATGTGCTCGCAAATGTCCCTTTCAAGCCTTGGGGAAGAGGTCAAGTCAAAAATAGTCAGGCAAGAAATTATTTTATTGAGAAACCTAAGTTACAAACAGCATTGAAAACAAACACACAACTTTCAGCTGAATTTTCATGGGAATTAGGGGGCATTTTTCCACCCCATCACCTCCATCAGAGCTGCAAATGGTACCAATTGACCTTTTATTTTGCCTGCACTCTCTACTGCTCTCAGGCTGAATTCTTCCTCTTTGCTCTTTGCCTCTGTGCTTTCCTGTGAATTCCTTCCTCCATTCCTTCATCCACGGGACAAAATAAAAACCAGCAGAGCAGGAAACTCCAAATAGAGTGGAAACAATTAGAGCCTACACAGGGGTTTCTATTAAAACCCCAGCTTAATAATTTAGTAGCTTGGCACTAGCTCTCTAAAGAACAGTTTTTAAAAGCAGACCACCACCAACCAGCAAGTTCAATCCAGTGCCTAAAAACATCCTACCTAATGAAAGGTGGCCTGGAGGGGTAGCCAGTGGGAAACCTGCCAAAAGCCAGCATGCCTCATTAAATGGACCAGCATGAGGACCCAGGCAGAAGCCTCCTCTGGTTCTGAAGTTCTCAAGTTCTCCTCCACTGGCAGATTCTTCACGTGGCCTCACAGTACTGTATAAGAAGCAAAATTGGCACCTACCAAGCTTTCAAGCAAAAAACACCCAAGACCCCCCCTTTCTCTCCATTCCAGTAATTTGCATCTGTTGACTTTTAGGCTCCTTGTGTAAGTATGAGTAACAAGGGGAGAAGCCGATACTGACTTGCAGTAGGAAGAAGAAATGCAGAGTGGCACCAAGCACTTTGCTACCTTTGGACACATTCACAAGAGCCATAAAAAAAGCTACCTTACAAGAAAGAGAAAGGGTGGAAGTGAGTGTTTCCTTACACCTACCATCCAAGTTTGCCTGCTGAGGGAGGCCACAGTAGCTGCACAGCCTGAGACACAACAGGGAGAACTGAAATAGAGCAATTGTGAGGTAAGGTCAATTTCTACTCAGTCTGAACCTGGTCTTTTTAACTATTAAAAAAAAAAAAAAGGAAACTATGTGTTAATTTCTGGAAATAAATGCCAATGTTTCTCTCAGCTTTTCCTGAAGCAGGCCTAAGTATACACTTACATCCTTCCTACCTCCTCCCCCTCCAAGTGAGCACCTCCAGTGCCAGACCTTGTGCTTTTATCTCTCCTGGCATGCAGTCCCATTCCTCTAGCACTCAGATGGGGCTTTCAGGTTCAGAGGGTCAGCCCTATATACCCACCACAGGGACTAACACCAGCTTGCAGGAATCTATAATGAGTAGGGAACACACATAAGAATGCACCTCATTCCTATCTATTTAATTTCATACATCATACAGTAGTAATAAAAAGCAACTGGAAAAGGGGAACTTTTCTGGAAAAGGGGAAGTACAGTCTGGTCCCTTGCCTACAGCCAAGGCAGTCCAAGGCAGCCTCGAGGGTCAATGAGTGAAGTTGCCTTCTCTGAGCAGTTCCCATCAACTCCCAGGTCCCTCCCTGACATGAAGTCCTGCCACATTCTCATCTGGAAAACATTCAAGTCTCAGCCTTCTTGCCCATCCCAGACTGTGAAGCTCTCTGGGAAACCCAGCAAGACACCCCAGAGCCAGTAATTCTTCCCTGTCCTAAAACCATCTGAGAGTGTTTATTTGAGCCATTACTCTGCTCTGGTTGCTTCAAGCTTCCTACAATGCCAGGCCACCAGAGCTGCAGACAACTGAACCCTCTTGCCCTGAACTCATCAGATGTGACAGATGTGAAGCAGCATTGTCACCAGTCCCTGACAACCAATCTGTCCTTCAAACATCACCACTCAGTAAGCTACAAACATCCCCAACTTAGTGGTATACAAAAGTTTCCGGAGAGTTAAGACTGGACTTGAAGCCTGTTAAAAAGCAACAGAACAAAGCAGAGGGAAGAGCCCAGCATGTGATGTCAGAGTCCTAATTTTCATCAAAGGAAGATGTTCTGCCCCATCTGGAGTTGAGAAAAAAAGATGTGTTCTCAATGAAGTGGTGAGAGCTCCAAATGCAAATGTCATTTCTTTCCAAAAACCATTCCTTCTGTCAAAGCAGCAAACCTGAGTCTGGACATGCCCAGAGTAGAAGACAGGATCTTTCTCCCCTTCCTACATGAAACAGGATGGAGGTGTTTCTTTAGTTTTTCTTTCAGAAGCACAGGTCCATAAAAATGGACAAGCTTAAAACTCACACTCCAGCACACTTTTTTTGTACAGTCATTTACATTCAGAATTTATGTCTGTTTCTGTTTCAAAGCTCATGCCTCCTCTGTGGATTATCATTAGCAAGACAATAATTTTGCCTCAGCTTCACATTTAAACATGAAATTACATCTACCAGGCTTTTCTTTCATCAAATGAATATAGATTAACAATTACTTCCAACAACACTGCAAGATGGATATTTCCTCACTTAAAAGGGCCCCAGGCATAGCCCCTCTTACTACACCATTCACATTGTCAGCCCTGAGTCTCCTCTGCATTACACAGGTCCATTTGTAACACCACATTGATGAAACACAAAAACAATCGAAGATATTGTCAGACATCTTGCACACCATAAATTCTTGCATTCATTTAAAAATTATTCTTGGCCCACACTGCCAAGCAGAATAAAGACATTAATTTAGCCCACAAAAAGACTGAGGTCAGCACTGGCCAATGCTCAATTCTTTTCAAGAGACCACACTGAAAACAAATCAGTGCCCTTATATATACATCTATATGCACACAGACATATATATATATACACACACACACTTCTTACCTGGCATAGATTTATAGTACCCCTGTCATGGGCATGTGAGTGTCATAAGCTCTCAGAAACCGAGGTCATATCTTGTTAGTTCAATGACTGACAGACTGAAAACTGCAGCTAGACACATTTTCCCTGGTTGCAGAACATGCAAATGTAATCAGTTCATTAAACTTGGAATGAAATTTCTAGAGAGGCACTGCTGACATTCATAACAAAAAAAAAATACATCTCATAAGAGGATATTCAGACATTCCCAGCTTCTCCAGTCCCTCCTAAAATGCCAAAAAGGCAAGAAGATGTTTTTGTTTCCCCTCGACATTTGGTAACAGCCTTCAAGAGCTCAGTCAAAGAGAGAGTACTGCAGAGACAAATTCCTTGCTTGCTGTCCCCCCCACTGTATTCTTATTTTGTCCATTCCCTCTTCAAAATATAGAATTGTAAAACTAATGCTGTGTGTCCTCAGATGCCCTTCCCAAATCAAACCTTGGCTTTGTTGCAAATTGCATTGCACTAACTAGCATTGCTTTAAGTTTTTAGTGCAGGCAGGGTAATTTTGGAAGTAAGTTGTTGTTTACCTTGTTCCTACCACC